AGAGATCATTGCAGAAGAGGGTGGAAAGGAAATATCCAGAGGCAGTCAAAGGATATGAGGAGACAATGTCCTCAGAACACAGCAGAGCAGCTGTACATACGAACATGCACAAGACCTGTGCAAGATGAAGCTGTACCAGATCTCAGCATGGAGAGGGGAGGTGGGCATAAAATCCAACCCTCAGCTGAAGAACTACTGGCTTCTTTAAGAATGTTGGCTCCATTGCCATCTACTTCCATATCCCCGAGTAACCAGTTAACACCGCCCCTCCCCCAGCCCTGAGGGAGTTGACCATGACCCCAAATAGATACAGCTGGTAGGGGACACTCTGCACTGCGTTTTCCTATATACACTCCAGATCATCTTGCCACGATGTGTGGCAGGCTCATCTGGGGCATTTTCTGTGCTGTAACAACTTTCACCTTTTTTCATTTAAGTGCTTTCAGCTTTTCTCTGGCGCAGGCAAACTGCCAGCACGGCACAATGAATCACAATGAACAAGACTGTGAGTCAACTGATCTCATTTCGTCTGATACCTGAAATGGTTAAGTGTGATCGGAGGGCAGCATATATGGTGTAGCCACACTGGACCAAAGGATGACGAACGGTCCCAAGTAAAGCTGGAGCACACTTTACCCTACTAGAGATTCCCCAAGTTGCCTAGGATCCCACCTTTTGATGATTCACAATGTGAATAAAATATAATTTCAGCATAAACTTAAAAAAAAATAAAAAATGTTGGCTCCAGAGAGGCTCCATGGGCTGTTGCCAAGACTATAGATTGGTTCTCCACAAATGGATGGCAAGCCCTATTGCTGAAGACAACACCAATACAACCCATTAAACATACAGAAGTTGAGCTGGTGCCTGCATAGAACCTTCTCCCCTAGGTTCTGGTATCTTTGGTACAGGAAGGTACTTTGCACACTACCAAAGGAGAAACCTAAACACCAACCCAGCCACAAACCCTTTGATCTACAATGGTGGCCTGCTTGCAAGATATGCTAATGTAGTGTTGCCACAAAGCTTTTCTGAGTAAAAGCAAAACAAAATAAAAAGAAAAAAAGAAAAGACAAAAACAAAAACAAGAACAAAGTAGCAATAAAATGACTCCCAATGACATTCTGCTATACTCAAAGAACAGTGCCTTGCTCAGCCATCATCAGAGAGGCTTCTGCGTATGATGGGAACAAATACAGAGACCCACAGCCAGGCATTATGCAGAGTTAGAGACCTTGGGACACTCAGCCCTAAACAGAATTTCTCCATCAAATCTCTCCCCTCAGGGCTCAGGAAACCCTGCGAAGAGAAGGTGGCAAGAGTGTAAGAGCCAGAGAGGATGGAGGACAAAAAGAAAAGAAGGTCCTCTGAATCTTCCTGAGCAAAGCACATATGAACTCACTGAGACCAAGGCAGCAAGTGCAGGGCCTGCATAGGTTTGTACCAGGTCGTTTGTATATATCTTATGGTTTCCACTTTAATGCTTTAATGGGATTCCTGAGTGCATGAATGAGTGGGTTTCTGTTTCTTGTGTCATTTCTTGGGCTCTTTTTATTTCTGTTTATTTTGTCCAATTTTGGTTTGTTAGTTTTTTTTTATTTATCTTACATTTTATTTTATTACTATCCCTTAGAAGACTGATTATTTTCTAAAGAGAGACAGAAAGGGAGTGGATCTGGATAGGAGAGGATTTGGGGAGGAAATGAGAGAAGTAGAGGGAGGGGAAGTTGTCAGGATATATTATCTGAGGAAAAACCATCTTCAGAAATGGATAAAAATAACTGTATGGAGAGCCAGGGTCAGAGGATCCTGACAAATACCAAGTAACAGGGAATCTAGAAAATAGTATCACGGGAGATTTTATTTATAAGATCTTTAAAGTTATTGTTTCCAAAAAGAAGGATTTTTAAATTAATAATGTCCTAATTGCCTCTGGGGGAAAAAAGAATGTTGTCTTTGGTCACAACTGGAAGGTCACATATCTAAGATATGTGAGATATCACATAACCAAGATATTCAAGATATGTTGAGATATCGCATATGTCAACTGGAAAATCACATATCCAAGAATTTGGGGGAAAAAAAAGAGAACACAGAATTTGGTGGATTGGGTGAGTTTGGGTTTGGTGTGGGTGCATATATCAAAACACAATTAACAAAATTCTCCAAGAATCAATTTAAAAAGAATTGGAGAAACTTCTTTCTGAGTCCTCTAATGCTGTAACCAAGCAGATGTGTTTGGGGAATGGGAGCAATGGATTGTAGCTGGAGTCTGCAGTAGTTCCTGTTTTCTTCTGGCATTCTGCAGGTTAGGACCAGGCGGTCAAGGGGATGATGTCAGCATCTGGGTTGTATTTATTTTCAAAGTTTCCTTTCCTTGGATACTAGGGAGTTACTATTCATCATAATGAGTTTTGTGGACCATGGGCTGGGCAGTCTGTGGACTCTGGAGTAGCCATTTTGTGCATGCAGAGGGAGCAAACATCCCAGTCGAGGGGTGCCACCTATCTGACTGAAAAAGGCAAAGGACAGAGCTCTGCCCTGGAGGTGAAGCGCTCAGAGAACCGGCAGTCCGCCTGATGGTCTGAGCTTTCAGAATTGAGACTGTGGGAATTCAGCAGTCTGCTGACCCTCTACGCCCAGAGCGCTAAATATAAGATCAAGCGATACCCAGTTGAGACAGTTCATTTCCTGTCACCCGTGTGTAGCTCAAGATGTAGAACTCTCAGTTCCCTTTCCAGCACCATGTCTGTCTGCGTGCCGCCATGTCTTACCATGAGAGTGGACTAAACCTCGAAAACCGCAAACCGACCCCAATTAAGTGTTTTCCTTTATAAGAGTGGCTGTGGTCACGGTGTCTCTCCACAGGAAGAGAAACTCTAAGACACCAGAGTAGCTCAAGTCTTAAATGACAGAAGCACTGTCAAGATGGCGCCTGGGCCCAGCGCTCTGAGACATGTGGGGTGCTGTCATGGATTTCTCCTCTGGGGCTAAGTATGAATCCAGAGGGAGAGTTAAGTTGAAACCACACACTGAGATTCAGGTTTGTGAGCTCTGTTTCTCCCGAGACTGATGCTCATTGCCAGAACCATCTGGCTCACTTTGTGGTGCAGCTTTGGGATCTGCTCCCTGACAGAGAGCCAAGGCTGGAGTTGTGAACGCTTTTCCTAATTGTTTCTGCTACCAACTTCTCCATGCTTTAACTGCCCTGCAACTCCTCTTTCGATTCCCAATCCCCTCATCCTTTTCTTCAGAGAACCCAGGCTTTGTACATGACTCATCTCATTCAGTCTCGCAGAAGAAACTTGGAAACCAACATCTTACCGGCGACGTAGGCAACTCTCTAAGTTATGTACAGAGATTGGAACTGACTGCTCACAAAGATCACCACCTCGCTCTTCATAATCTCCTGAAATATTTCAGTATTTTATTAAAAGTCTGCATTACTTTAATAAATTTAAACATCTTCTTCAAAATGCAGTATCAGAAGTCTTCCTATCCAATACTCAAATGTGGGATGTCTAGCCAGCACATACACGAACATGCTCCTGCAGCTCAACAGAGATGTGGGTCAACTCAAACGGTAAAAAGGAGAGTGCCAACAAGGTTTATGAGCTCTGATGCCTACATATGAAAGTGGGTAGTAAGGTATCAGTTTGTAAGCTTCAAGAAAATGAGATAAGTTACTTGTATTATAAAGGTACATGGAAAAAAAGTAATGACTATGCAGACTGGAAAGAAAAAGAATTCTTTTCTATGAAAAGTCAAAGAGTAGGTGGGCCTGGGCCCAGACGAACCAGCTCTTGTACTCTCTTGAGTGAGATCCATGGTTACAGGTACAGGAGGAGCACCAGAGTCTAAGGACTCCTGCCCTCCTCTTTCCGTCTGTGGGTCATGAAGCTCTGAGATCAGCTTTCTCAAACTTAAATCTAACTTGTCCACGTCTCCTTTCCCTAGAGACATGCAATCCAGCAGCGGCTCTGTAAACACTCCCAATGGTGTCCTGTTGAAGTTGGAAACTGGGAACAAGGTCGGGCAGTCCCGCCATTTGGGTCATATGACCTCTAACCTCTACCTCAGCCCACATTATGTTCCTTCTGTGACCATGTAAATCATTTTCTTCTCTTGTCTATCCAATTGCCACTTTCCTCACTCTGGCTCCATCCCCTTACATCACCAGTACAGGGTTCTGGGTCTCTACTTGGTCTTTTGTGCATTTGGTTTTGTTTTTTGATTCTCCCCTCCCATCCAACTATAAGCTCTTCCCACTAAGCAGGTGTTTCTACTTGGTAGAGTTGGCTTTCAATAAATGCACATCCAACAGACCGTCTTTGGGAAACAGCCTTGGTTATTATGTGTGCACAAATTAGCAGACTTTCCATTTTCTCTTCAATTCTATGATCTTGAGATCAAAGAGAACTTATTCACAGAAGCATAAACTATCAATGCTTACTGGGAAAGTGTCTGTAGCTGCAGGCTGTGTAGTCCATATTCAGACACACTACAAGAAACTTTCTAGTCGAGATAGGCTATTGTATGCTGTGCTGGAGAACATACTCTATAATGTAAGTTAATCCTGTCTGGCTGACCTCTTAAGTGCTCTGGATCCAGTTACCACCTAATGCCTGTACCAATGAAGTCCTATTACACCCCGTTGGCCCCTAGTGATGATCTCAGTACATAGAGACTTGTTCAAATGGCTCTGTATGAGGTCCATCACTGCAAAACATACCCCAAATAATTATGTTGGAAGCTTTTGTTCTTGTAAATGCACCTCCACTTGATTGTACGAAACACTCACGCTGATGGTGCTGCCACATAATCAGAGAATCTAAAAGCTCTATTCCTTTCAAGATTAATGCAGAACTTCAGAGATGGATTCTGCTTGGTCACCAGCAGGAAAATGCTGATAGCTGTAATTGAGTTTCAGGACATCCTTTTCAGTGTGGGTATTTATGGCAGGTAAAGAACTTTCGGACATAAGGGCTTTACAAAAATAGCTTCAATCGTTGGTTAAGCTGAGGACCACTGCTAGATACCATCTTCCAAGATACAAAAGAAGCAATGTCCATAATTACCATGATGGGGGCAAAATAAAGCATAAGACAGCAAAAGGAGCTGGACTGTGGGAATGCTTATTATACTATGCAACCCTCCTTGAAGATGGAGGAACTTAGGAAAATCCCAGGGGTTCTGTCATACAAAAGGAGTTGGCAATGGAAGGGAACTGTATAGTTGAAGCTCCATGGTCAGCTCAAGTGCATTCACCAATTTCTTACATGGCCCGCACTAGTACTATCCCCCTTCTGTCGCCAGCTAAGTCCTTTTCTTCTCTTGGTCTATGCAATTGCCACTTTCCCTTCCATCTGGCTAGATCCCCTTATTACAGGGCCCTGGGCCTCCCTACTTGGTGTCTTTCATGCTTTCGTTCTGTTTCCCCTTCACAAACTATAAGCTCTCCCCACCAAGCAGGCATGTCTAACTCCTTCTATGTATTCACCTTCAAGTTAAGCTTGGAGACTGATTCTGTCGCCAAACACAGCATTTTGGTTACACATCTCAAGATGAGCAGTTCATCATACCTGTCCCTAGCACAGCTGCGGGACTTGCTGGTTTTGTAACTAAAGAAGTGCTAACTGCCGGTGGTGCCACTCACTGAGGGCCACTCACCTGCTTGGCAGGTGTGTTCGGAGCACTTTGCACCTATCCTGACCAACTCTATGAGGTATGCTCTTTTAGAGGGGGTGGAAGGGAGGCTTCCAGAGAGTAAGGAACCTCCTGACCAGCTAGCATGCCCTAAGGAAGAGACTCATCTCTTGGTTCTACAGAATTTGCTATTACTAGGTGTCTGCACCATAGCACAGCTCAACTTCTCATGTGCATAAGCATTGGTAGAGGATCGTGCTAAGCGGACATTCTGACTCTGGAAGTCTGGAGTAGGGTCTGAGATTTTTACTTCTAATACCACCCTCACCCCCAGTAATCATGAGGCAGCTGGGTCATGTACCATGCTTTGACAAGCAAGGCACTTTTCAAAACAAAGACACAGCTTCTTTTCATGGACAGAATATCATTTCAGTATTTGCAGTCATGGGCCCTCAAGTGATTCCTTGACCCTGATACATTTGAGACCACATGGAGACAAAAAAGTTATCAATCCAGAAGCAATAATGGTTATGGAATGCTTACACTTCCATGTATTTTTTACAGTAAAAATGCATTAAAAATCTTTCATAAAAGAAACTTTAAAAAAATACAAGAAGGCTATTGAGTCCTCCCACCTCTGAACATTCTTTCAGATATCAGTTGCATAGCGGGGGGCGGGGCGGGGGATTTCCTAAATGGTTTGATTTATTCATACAAAATACTCATCCATCATACCTCATTAACACTCTGACGTGAAGTGGAAGGTTGGGGAGAAAAGGCTCATAAGACTCAGTTTCCAAGAAAGGTTACAGTAGACGGAAGAGAATTTTACTATTCTGCTTAGTGTCGAATTCTCTGTACTTTGAAAGCGTAATACTCTCATATGAAGTCTGATGTACGGAATGAAGGTTAAATTGCTACAGCAAAATTCCTCAGAAACTGAGCCAGGCTCAGGTGGGTAGCACTGACTTTAAATGCTGAATACCATCTCTTACAATGAGACAGGACATCTTGATGTTAACTTCAGGACGAAATACAAAAATCATCCTTGATGCCCACAGACGGCGATCGAGAAAATGAACCAGTCACATAATGGACTGCGTTAGAAGTAGCGAGAAAAATCCCAGCGGCAGAGCCGAGTGCAACACTGCCAAGGTGGCTCTCAGGAAACGGATGACATAAACATTGCCATTCACTGTAGCCTTCCTCAGCATTAGTACTATAGTCAATGTATCCTTGTAGCAAAAACTGTGATGATAATCACAGACTCCCCGCCCCCTTTAGCTACACAATATACATTGTGTTTGATTCAGGAAAAGAACTTTGGTCATGTCCACATAACCATAGCTACTCAGTGTAATGTGATGGATAAGCCCTAAATCAAATAAAGCTATGAACACTGTAATATTTATATGTGCGTAGTGTTTTATAAAAAGATTGGCCCACACGCTGCTTTTCATCAACACAGAAGGAGCATTAAGCAAGAAATAAATGAGTGAAGAACAGAGAATGCAATGGATGCCTGGCTCTCCATGGAAGATGACAGCCCCAACAAACTACAGCTTTAGTGACACTTATACAGTCTCCCATTTTAGACAACTTTACACACCTGATTTAGTTTATAGTATATTCCCAAGAATCAATCTGCTCATATTCAGAAATAGAAACGCACATCACATTCCTCAAAGCTGAACTTTTGTCATAAATTCTCTTTTATACAAAAAAGGCAACAATTGTTTATTTTTTTCCAACAGTCTCTATTAATTACAATTTTAAACTCTACATACAATGATTGGCTGGTTTTCTTCTTTTTTTTTTTTTTTTGTTTTGTCTTTTTTCTCCCCTCCCCTAATACAGTACCATGGGAACAACAGTGATTGACTTGCAAAGTTTTTGTGTCTGAATGGAAAATGCAAACCAGTAGGACAGAAACATGAGCGCACTGTCAGCAGCGGCTGGCTGCACTGCTCCAACAGGGACAAGCAAACACTTTGGCTCAGCTAGGCAGTCATCCACTTAAACCGCTTCTCAGCGCTACAGCTGACCCAACCACACCTTCAGAGGGTTCAGAAAAATGGGTCTATTTTAGAAAGAAAAGCCTTTACATTTTATTTTGCTGCTCCCAAATAAAAAGAACAGGGTCACGGGGATGGAAGTTTCCCAGCACATCGAGAACTACTGGTGCTATCGCTTTCTGCCTTGCCCTTCAGTCAATCCTTAAGAGCTGGTTGCGGTTTCAAAGTGCATAATCAGCTATTCTGGGAATAAGCAGCCCCAATGCTTTTTAAATATCACAAGAGAGGTTTCCTTCACCAAAGTCCACTCCTCTGCTCCCATTCAGCAGAAAGCAACCGTGAGCTAATGCTAAACACTGGGGGAGGGCACTCTTTCCATGCTGGAGACATTTACATCTCCCTGGTCCTACATTCCATCTACTCAGCTTCTTATGGGACCACACGGCCCAGAAGCAGCTTGTCTGTTCCTTCTAGAGGCTGACAAGTTGTGATGGGCACTGCAGTATGGGAAATGTAGTCTGTGGTGGAGCTGATGAACCTGACCATCTGAGCTAAGGCTGTATATGGTTCATGGCAGCCAAACGTCTTGTTTTTGCACCTTCCTGGGCCAGGGAGAGCACAAACCATTCTTTGAAGCAACTATAACTTGAGATCATAAAGTTTCTTAGCGCTGTGCACTGTCGTCATAAATATCCTTCATTTGCAGTAGTTTTCTTGTCATGCAGCTTGGCCACCCTAATCCACCCTAAAGGCCCTCAGTTTGGACAAGCAAAAGTTTGCCTTTTTGTGTTCTGTGTTTCTGAAAAAACAAGGGTTTACAGTACAGCACTAGTTCACGTCTAACGGTTTATACTGAGTTAAATTTAACTGCATTTACTTAGAGGACAAGACCACAGCCCCATTTATCTAGAAGAGAAATAGCTTGCCCCAAAGAGGGAACAATTCTCAACAATTCTATAGCTTGTGAAGAAACAAAATATACATCCCTTTGGGTCATCATTTTGGCAAATAATTTTCAAAAAAAGTATGCATTTAAAAATACTTTCTTTAATATTATACATCAGGCACAAGACTTTTCATATATATTTTTTTCTTATAAGATTTCAAATGCATAAAATGTTCATTCTATTCATAGGTCTCTTCAGGTGATGCTTCCTCAGGTAAGAAACTAAATTATTTCATGTTTGCGACCTTCCTCTTAGAACCTTTGACACGGTAAAGGCTGCAATGGGACTGGAGTCTCAGATGCTGAGGTCGGTGCTACATTCTTTATAAGGCCGCCTTCTCTGCTCCGGGGGATTTCGGGGACTTCTCCCAGCTTCAGGCTTCAGACCAGTCTCCTCCTTTTCTCGGTGGCCAACCTTGTCGTCTCGGTTCCTTTTGTCCAGTGATCGCTCTCGCCTGCGCTCGGGGGACCTGGCCCTCCTCCTGTCGGTGGACTTGGCTCTCCTCTCAGGTGAGCCCCCTCTTCTGCGCTCTGGGGACCGTCTCTGATCCAGGAGTCTTTCGAGGGACCTCCTCCGGCGGCTGGGGGAGCTGTCTCTTCTCCGGGTGGGTGACCGCTCTCGCTTCCTCTCAGGGGACATCTCCCTTCTCTTCTCATGCTTCTCCCTCCTTTCCAAAGTGTTGTCAGCACTGCGGGTGCCTTCCCTGCGCTTCTCCGGAGACCGCTTCTTGGGGCCATTGGTGGCTGTCCGCTCCGGCTGTGCGTCTCTCCATGCATCGGGTGGCCTGTCTTTGGGCCGGCATGCCCCACTGTCGGGTTTTCTAGAAGTTCCATTCCAGGTGTGGTGTTCGTTGTGTTGTTTGCTGTGCTCCGTGTTGCCTTTTGGATCCTTCGCGTGTGCCCGCTTTTCCCCATGTTGTGATGATTTGTGAAGATCGGGTGGGTAACTGGACTCCAAGGCTGGATGTGGTCTGCGGTCAGGCGGCCCCAGCCTCACTTCCGGAACACCTTGTGCACCGGTGGAGGGGCCGTTCCTGTCGCTGCTGGGGTCTGCCAGGAAGAGAAACAAGAGCAACAGTTCAACAAGAAGGTCCCGTGGCTCCTGGCCCCGGTTCCCTCCCACACTGGACTCGTTAGTCACAACAAACAAACAACTGTTAAAGCAGATTCCAAGCCAACTGAATCTTGGTTAATTTAAGTATTACTGCAACTAGTTGGGATTAAAAACTAGTGCTAGGCTTTCAACATCTGGCTGACTATTCCTTAGACCCCGAAGACAGACCTTCGGAGAAATTATAAATGGTTTTAGTTTTTAAAGGGCAGAATTGAAGGGTCTGTCTAGAGGTACCAGGACTACCACACCCTGACCCACACCGGCTCTTCCTGGCCACCCATCAGCCTTTTCCCGGCCTTAGCCTTTCTTCTGTTTCCCTCCAATACCATTTTATTTGAAGAATACTTGTTCTGGTTAAAATTAACCTAGGCCACGGGCCTGGATGGGCATGAGGAAAGCTCTCTAGGGGTTAGAAATAGTCGCTGGCTTATCTGGGTGGTGACAATCTACTGAGGACCTGCATGCCATATAAAACATGCTTCTACTTTTAAAAAATGATTCAGGGTATTGGGCAAAGGGGGTTATCTAGGCAACACATAGGGCAGATGTTAACTGTCAAATGTGACATCTGCTTGAAGGTCCATTAAACTACTTCTTTTACATTTAACTATTTTTTTCTATTTTCAAGTAATGAAAAAAAAAACAAGGAACTGTATTTAAAAAAGCTTTCTGCCAGATAAAAGGGAAAGGGATAGGTTGTTAGGTGCACCTTTGATCAGCTGGGGTTTATAAAATCTCTACGTTTAAAAGCACCTTTCTTTACGATGTAAGAAGCAGCCATAATGATATTCAGGAGCTGCGGAGCCATCGGACTGCTTCCTAGTTCAGATCTAAACGCTGGACAGCCCATGACAAGACTCATTTATCATTAAACTATCTGAACCGACACTACAACCATTTAAGGCAGCTTCTTGAATTTATGAGAGCTTTGCAAAGCAGGATGTTTTGCTGCAATGATAAAACCATCAAGTTTTAGGTGCCTGGGTTGCTGAGCTGCAGTGTGGGATACAGGGCTTTAACAATGTCTTGCATTAGACAGCTAGGACAACAGTAGCCAGACAGTCTGTCTCATGAAGGATCTTTCCAAACCCAGGACAGGTTCAACGAAGAGAGAGATATAGTCTAGAGCATGGGTCCTAACAGTCTTAGCTTTTTTTTTCTCTGCAGGGGGAGGGCTGTTAACATTTATTTGGGGTTAGCAATTCCTCTTTAACTTGACCACTGCGGTGCAAAAACATTTTTTTTTTAAATGGGTGTGCTATATGCCAATAAAACTCATTGACAAAACCAGGCTGTGACCAGGATTTGATTCACAGGCTAGAGTTTGCTGGGAGACACCTGAACAACCAGGAATCTCTCCTTCTTGTCCAGCAAAGCCTCACCTACCAGGGAAGAGCTCCGTGATGAGTCTCATTCTATCTCAATGCTGGGGGTGCTCCCGGGACAAAGACAATCATTCCACACTCGGGGGAGAGAATCACTTAGAGAGCCGTAAACCTAACCTACATTCTTCCTCTGTTCTTAAGACAAGGGAGAGCAACACTTCAACAGGGTCAGCCATGTACTTACAATTCAAAGAACGCAGGGTGCTCAGAATGAATTGCCAAACATATCAAAATAGAGCTAAGCAGAAGCAATGAGGAAATTAGGCCACAGCACAGAAACACCTAGTATTGATTGAGCTACAAACCGTAGTTTGATTATGGCCCATAAGGTAGAAGCAAGCCTCCCCGAGCTTTTCATTTCTCATACATGCAGCGATATTAGGAGGTATCATCGCTGTAGGAGGGAGGGCCCAGCACCAAGAACAGTCAGAGAGGAGGAGAAAGAGAGAAAGAGAAAAAGTTGAACATTTAGATTCCCTATAACAAGAAAGACATAAAAAAAAATCTTCATTTGTTAACAGAGGGCAAGAGAGTTTATTTGTCCAGTGAGTCTAAGGCAACACCCAAGGCTGCAGAGACCGCGATTGGAACAACGACTTTTTAGATAGCTGGAAGATGGCTCGAAAACCCAGATGATGATGCAACCTTTTTTTTTTTTGTTTTGTGACTTTTTTTCTCAAACAACTGGAACAATGACAGGCTGGCATAGGAGAGCATTAACAATAAACAACAAAAGAACAGAGTCCCCTCCCACCACCCCACCCAATACCGCGGCAGTTAAATTAAGTACAAAAAACTCATTACAAAAATAGCCTCACAGAGAAGCAGGTTCCAGTCAAGTCAGAAAAATAGTGGAACTTAACATATTATAACCCATTTGTAACTCTAATCAATAGAATTAGAGAGATTTAGTCCAAATGACGCATGGAAACATTACAGTAGCACAACCCTGGCGTGTTCAACCCTTTGTGGAAAACCATGTATTTCAATGATCTTTATTTTTAGCCCAAAGAACATTTGTTAGTGTTGGATTTTCATCCTCAGTGCAACAGACATAGGTTTGGAGAAGATACACAGGTTACTGACGATGACTCTCAAGTGAGATATCACATCCAACAGAAGCATAGGGAAGACAGAAAAGGGAGACATGTTACACAGTTTCAGTGGTACCAGTACACCTAATGGTCAGGAGATCAGCACAGTGTGCAACCAGGGCACCTCATGTCATTAAGGTCCCCCCCCCTCCACCTCAGGCCCCTCATATTGTGCACCCGTACCAACGTCCAACACCTGGGGAGGCTGCCCTGCCCAGGATCCACTCTCCTCCTTGAACTATGTCTGCCAACGAGCATCTCATTGAGCCCAAAATGCATCTGGGGATTGTGCAGAGAGACGTTCAGAAAAGAGGGTGATAACAGATAAATCCCGAATAAAGGGGACCAATGTATATGGGAATCTTTCAATCACAGTTTCTATAGAAACTTTTGTAGACCTTTGGTTGGGAAAAAAAGCCCTACATCTAGGGCATAGCTTCCTTTTTTTCCTAAAATTTTAAACAAGAATCTCAAATAAATAGGACATAATTATTACAATATACACTATTTTGCCATCAGAACACTAAGCTAGTAAAGAGCATTGCTGTCTACTCGAACTATGATAGAGATACGACAGAGGAGCTCTCCGTATCACTGGCTTTCCTCATAGGAAAGGTATAGTAGTGTGTTTCCCTCAGGATGGGCACTGGGAATCTAGTTCATCCTTCATCATTTAAAAACATATGGCTAATAGATCAACATTTGTTTGCTGTTGTTTGTTTGACAGTGTGGGCTCAGGTGGTCTGGTTTGGGGTAAAAGACCAGTTGAGAGGGACAGAGAACTGTCATATACAGAGTCTAAACAAAGTGAGCAAAGCCCCCCCAATATCTCAAAATTTCACACCTCTGCAATAAAGGAACAACAAAAACAAAACAAAACAAAAAACAAAACAGAGCAAAACAAACAAAGAAACAAACCAACTAGATATTGTGCCTCAACACCAGTCAGGCAACCTGCTTCTTTAAAGGACTGTGTAGTCATTTGTGCTAACATTTGGATCTGAGAAACAGTTTGGCACAGTTCAACAAACATTCCTTCGCTCTTGGTCGGACTAGACAGAACGTTCCCTCTGATTATCAGAAAGGGGGCTAGCAAGATCTTGTCTTAGGCCATGCCCCAGTCCATGGAAGCAAGCAAAGGATGAAATGTGTAGAGATTTCAGGACAAGCGAGGCAAATAACCACATGGTGCAAGAGGCTGGTAAGACACTGGTGAATAGGGAAACAAAAAGGACTTTCCTGCTGCCGTTCTGGAGACAAACTCATGGAGTCATGCCAGGGAAGGAGGGGATGTTTTCATAGTTTGACCCACCATATTCTGGGACTGAGCCGTCTCCCCGCCTCAGAAACAGACGAACTCTGCGGCCACCGTTCTTTATCAGTTCTATGGCCCGAGAATGTTTCATGTTTTTGGTGGTCTCACCATTAATCTCTAGAATTTCATCACCAATCTGTCAAAGCAAGAGACAAAGTGAAATGGTCACACTGGGCTTTCATAAGCTCTGGACGTCTTTTTGACTTAAATTCTTCCCCACATACACATGAGGCATATTCCAGGATTTTTTTTTCCTATTGCTTAGGATGTAGCAGTGAAAATATTAAACTTTCATGGCAATTAGATTCTAATGAGAGAAAGTAGGAACACTATACAAGTAGCACATCACATAACATTAAGTGCTAACTGAAGCAAAGGAGCTGTAAGGAGAATAGGAGTTACTGAGGACATAGTAGCATGGCCCCAACCGAGGATCTCTGTTCCATGTAGGGATAGTTGTATGCAATCTCCTTTATTCTTGACGTAAGTCAGAACTAGTGGATTGTTTTGAATCAAAAGGATACGGTCAACGTGATAGGCTATCAGGTCGAGCAGTTACAAATAACTGTCTTCTGTCTTTTTTGTCCTCACTTGCTCTCTCATTCTCTCTCTGATGCATATTATGGGGTGCCTACTGTGGTGAATGTGTTCCCCAAAGGTCCCGTGTTGAATGAAGACTTGGACTCATAGTCTGCAATGCTGCTGATCAATGGCGGAATGAAAGGAAGTCGGGTGACGAAGGGCATGTCCTTTAAGAGGACCCTGGCCTCTTCCTCTCACTTGTTCCTACTTCCTGTTTTGCTATGTTGCGTATCTTTCCACTCACTATAATACTTTGCCTTCTAAATAGGCCTCAAAACAGGAACCTCTGAGACTATGAGGCACAATATGCTTTTCTTCATTTTAGGCTAATTTCTGTAGGTATCTGGTTCTGAAATCTGACTAATACATCACCCTACAGAGTTCTGTAATAAGAAAATGAGAGAAAAACCAGGTGTGGTGGCTCATGCCTTTAATCCCAGCACTTGGGAGGCAGAACAGAAGGATCTGAGTTTGAGGACAGCCTGGTCTACATAATGAGTCCCAACACAGTCAGGGCTACTGTCTGTCTGTCTGTCTGTCTGTCTGTCTGTCTATCTATCTATCTATCTATCTATCTATCTGCCATGAGCTTGGAGCCCATCTCGCTTTTGTCAAGCAATTCTATGGCCCTTCAATCTCCTGCACGCTCAGTTCTTCAGCTGCAGAGGGAGATGAAAACAACCTCATACTAGGAGTCATGGGATAAATGTGTTTTAGGAGCTATGCACAACTGTAGAATGATGTTATTTCATGCTATTAGAAACTGTCCCTTCCAAATACCCATCATATTTCATTGTTTAATTCTCAAAACTATACTCTGCTTCCTCAACTAAGAAGGCTCAGTTTGGGGCCGGTGAGATGAGTGAGTAGGCAAAGGCACTTGCCGCAAAGTGTGAGCTGAATCTGATAACTGGGACCCACACTGTAGAAGGAGAGAACTGACCCCTGAAAGTCATCCCATTGTATGCACAACCACAGGTATGTTTATAGATACATACCCCCCCACACACACAAAGCAGAATAATGTGTAGAAATAGAAACAGCAAACAAAAAGCAAAAACACTTTTTTGAAAAGTTTAAAGATGGAAAAACAAGTATAAACACAATTGAGTTCCTCACTCTTGGCGTGTGTTGTGTATGTGTGTGTGTGTGTATGCACATGTATGTCTTTTTGCCCAGGCAGCTCACTTTCTTCTTTCCTGACAATCTCTTCTCTGCTGCAGTGGCTCTCTATGTGTTTCAAGTTATGTAACTTATTTAAATGCGATGATTCGCCTCTTCTCAATCATCTAATTCACACAGATGATAACAATAAACATTCCACAGCTAAAGAGAGCAGAGCCATGGGTCTGTGTCTTCTCAAGTTCTCAGGCTAGGCACGCCTATGGCATGAGGGCTCACATGGCTGAGGATGGCTAAAAATGTGGCCCAGCACAAAACTCTTACTCAAAACTTTGACAGAATTATTTTTGACAGTTTGTTTTTTTTTTGTTTTTTTTTTTTTTGGTAACTTGATGTCGAGGTTCTGGTATGATATTTTGTAGATGATAACGTTATTTCATAATTTCAAAAGGTTTGACGCCCCTATAGCAACCCCCAGTGACAATGTTATGGAACTATTGGCCCCAAGCTGGGGTCCAAGGTTGACTGGGAATCTCTGAGGCTAAGGGAAGACAGCTGGTGACCAACCAGAGAACGAATGAGTTCTCTACTCAGAATCTATAGGGCTACTCGGATTTCCTGCCCTCTATGCAGTCTGCACTATCTAGTTTCTTGTGATAGGATCTGCCTTCCGTAAGAGATTAAGCACAAGAAGACTAGGAAAGGCATTCAGAAAATACCCACTTGAAGTATGCTTTAGAAAGAAATCTGACAGGAGCTACATTCCGCAGTGGGAATGTCAAGAAGTGAGCACAGAGGACATCCGCCCAATCACTCTGGACCCCTCTCTACTTACCCTCATCTTTCCACATCTTTCTGCAGGACCATCCTCTGCTAAGCGCAGAACATAGAGGTCCATATTATACTCTCGCCCCCCTCGAAGACTAAAGCCAAACCCCTTGGCTCCTCTTTCCAGTTCCACAGTGTAAAAATCTTGCTCCTATATGAAGAAATTAAATGCAATCATTCTGTGGGGAACTTAGATCCACATCCATTTCTCTTAGAATGACTTTGCAAAAAGACACAGACTCTATCTGCAACTCCCACCTCAGTGACTCTGGCTTATTAACCATCTTTATTCATCTTCATCCACCTGAGGAGTTACGAATCTTGAAACTGCAAGCACTCACGAGCATGTCTATACACATGCACACGTTTACAACGCTCAGTCAGTAGGGCTACAGTTGACATCTGAGGCAGGAAAACTCTTCATTGCATCTGACCAACCACTGGCTGCTATAATGCTAGATGTCCCGTACCTGGCAAATGCTAGCAGTGCCCTAAGTCAGCCTTTATAAAGGAGGGCCCAGTTTCCATTCTGCTTGGAGAAGAAGGCCAGCAAAGCATTTACCTTTGGATCACCTATGTTCCTCAAATTTGCATCACTGGCTTTTATTTGTGCATTTCCAACCTGAGAACAAGACTTTCACTCTATGGGTCTTATCTGAAATTCACTAGCTAGAGTAATGTCGTATAGAAAAAGACTCTTTCTTAGCAGTAACAGGTTTTGAAAACCATGAGAAGCAAGACACTAGCTGCTCTTGTTCTCTGATCACTGAGTCTCGTGACAGCCATTCTTTCTTCTGCCTCACAAAAGAGTACCTAGAATATTTTTCAAAGGCAGTAAAAACAAAATGTCATTTTCTAGACAATCAAATTTGAGCACACATCTGGATAAATCGCCTTACCAAAAAAAAAAAAAGGTTGTTTATTTTCAAATAAGGGTTCCTTAAGCTTCAGAGGTTGGAGGGAAATGAGGAAAATGTACAGAGAAGCAGCTCTCACCTGTGCAGTCTGCGGTCCTTTGAACTCATACTGAGAATCCTGCTTTGGTTTGGTGGTGTTCCTGCCAGAACAAGAGGCACAAATATAACAGCAGTCCAGGGGGAACACAAGAAAGAAAAATCAAAGACGTGTGTGCATTAGGCAGGAGCTACTTTATCCCTTCAGCAACAACAGCGAACCCAAGCCACATCTGACCTTGTTTCCTGGGTCCCTTGCTGAGAAGGGGCATGAGTGGTGGTGATGGTGGCGATCTTCTCAGCATTGGTCAGCAGTGTGGCATTTGAGGACTCTGTAAGGCAGAGCATAGAAAGACATGAAGGCCTTAGAGAAGACATCAACCAACTGGGAGGCATGCAGAAACTCTGGATTGAGATGAAAAATTCAGACTGACTTGGCTGTCTCTATATCAAATAGTTGTCTAAAGTTTCTAAACAGTCAGGTGGTCAGTGAGCCTTTCCAAAGACCATGTGTATCCCACAACTCTCCTCCCCACCAGATATTTCCTCACAAATGTAATGTAGCTTACATGGATGTATCACTCCTGTCCTGCTACTGAAAGGTGGCGTGTGCCATCAATGCACTGCACCACACCGGCGTTCACGAATTTTACAGGGAGACGATCTATGGCTTTGCTAACAATTCTTGAGATTTATCAGCTATACATGGTTGAGTCTGTTTGATTTCCTCATCTGAATACTAAAAGTCAGAAATGCTGTACCATCTTGTTAAATACATACATCTACTATCTTTCCCTTTGCTTTTAATGAAGCCCAACTGAAAAGATAGGGCGCGTGACAAATTTCATTTCGTATCTCTTTGAAAGATTAATTCTAAGACTTGCATTAGAATAACCAGTGTTTATAAATATAAGTCATATAAATTATGAAGCCACCTTCATGTAATGAATATAATTATATTCATATGTAAATTGACTTTCTTCTCCACTAATCAAATTCAAAAGCAACTTCATTAATCTCTAGAAGTTTAGAGGCTCAGAATCTGAAAATACTCACGAGTGTAACCATGTACTACATACCGACATACATGTAAAATACAATCACTGGTTAGCAATGGTTAATCATTCCCTATTTACTAATCATCATTTCTCTATGTAGATCAAGCCTGGTGGCAGCTAACTGTGAGTAAGTCTTACTTTCAGTATTCATTTTTAAATGGACGCTGAAGCTTAGTGCATATTTTCTAATGAGGAAGAGACCTCCTGTGGTTGTGAAGGTCTAGCATCAGCCTGTGCATGTCCATTGCATTCATGGAGCACCTTGGAAATGCAAAGTTCCCACAAATGCTATGATTCACAGGAAGCAGGTTAGCATTTGCTGAATACAAATATCTGTGCACCAGGTGCATTAGGTTTCTATGGGGAAATACTTTAGGTATTCTAAACCTAGAAACCTGGACTATCTCTTTCTCCACTGCATTCTTGGAACAAAAGACAGCCCATTTATCGCAGCTATGGGCAGCCTGTCTTCTGGTACCATCCCTTAAGTATGTACTCAGCTTGCACCTAACTCCCTAGTACTTTATCTTTCATTATATGCCATGCCTGAGTTCCGAGATTTCAGACCCAGATTCAAGTCACTGCTTTTCCCCTCCTTAGGTACGAGTCTTATTTTTCTTATTTGGTAAAAGGAGCTCTATCCCTTCTTGTGGATGAAGGGACAGAAAGCGTTTAGTGGACTGCCTGACACATGTGTCATCAGTGCCCAGGGTATATCTACTCCACTCTTGGGCCTTACTACTAGTAAAAACATTTTATTAGTTTCTCTGGGAGCTTCTTAAAGTTATTTAAGCTCTCAGGAAAATGACCAAGTTTAATCTGATTTTTTTTTTTTACAGTTTCTAGTCTAGCCCCCAGAGCCTATTACTCTTATAGCAAGGCACAGAATCTAACCGGATCCAGAGAACTGCTTCTGTATCCCAGTCACGTTTTGGAGACAGTGCTCCCCATAATCTGTTCTTATCAAATGTTTCTGTAGCGCTCAGGGAAAGAGTGTGTGGTCGATTAGGAGCTACTCTGGAAGCAAAGGGGACTGTGCTTCAGAGCACTTCTCAGGCTGTTCTCTGTGTGGTACGGATACCATGTGCCCTGTGCCCTCTCTCTGGGGGAGGGGGTGCTCAAGCCAGCTGCGAGCCAGACTGCTTAGTGGTTGTAAGGTCAGACTGCAGAGTCACGACACCTTGCTCTGCATTCTACGCTCTGCACCCTACTGCACAGGGCTTAGACAAAATGACATAAGCGCTTGCTGCCTCAGTTTCCTCATTTGCACAAGAGGAACATCAGAAGTCTCTAAGGAGATTGATGCAATGATTATAAGTAGAAAAGAGACTCATGCTTGACACATAACTATCATTCAAAACGATGAGACTATGTGGGAGCTTTTATTGTTCCTACTTCTTCCCACCATTGTTGTGAATAATCAAGAGCATATTGGTGGTGACGCAGTGCGATCAGTAATTAAAAGTCCACCAGACTAGCTTACAAAAGCTACAGCTTCAATAAAACAGAAGGAAAAACTTACACCAGAATCCTAACCGTCCGAATGCTGGATCCAGGCCAGAGAGGGCGGGGAAGTGCGCCCGCCAGGTTTATAGGTAAACTTTTGCCTTAGGGCAACACGCCCCACGGACAAAATGTAATTGGCTGAACTCCCCTATCATATTGGTGAGTTTAAGTGAGCACTATTAGGAACACCAGCTCATTATATCATTTCCAGACCAGGGCTGCTAACCCGGACAACCAAGGTGTAAGCCTAACTGGCATTTCATAGAATAAGTCCACTGTGCCAGTTCGAGATGCAGGGATAGCATAGCCCGTCAGTATGACTGACTCACCAGAACCTTTTTGACCATGGGCACTAGTCTCCTATCACCCCTCATAGTGCTTACTATCATTCATTGCACAAGGGTTACCTGAGAAATTACAAGGGTGTTTGGGCCATAGTAAAATCCTAAATGGGACAAGAAGAATGTTTCCTTGTAATTAAAGTGATTATAATTGCTGAATGAATTCCTTTAGAATGTTTGCGTGCTCTTGGCCACCAGCATTTTCTGGGCACACTGAATCCTATTGTCAAGCAAATTTTGTATTTATGTTGCTTTCATGATTTGATGGCGTACAATAATCACTCACTACACATATAAATAGAATGCCATCAATAATTTTCTTTCCATTCATTACTTTCGATGTTTCACAATGCAAATTGCTTGGGTGCTGGAGCTTAGCTTTCAGCATTTAAAACACATTAACACTTAATATTCTACTTTGAAGTTTGATGAATTTTGCTTACTCCATTGTTTGTCTTACAGTCTATTTACAGTGTACGAAGCAGACACTGCACCTTAGAGGTCCACTAGGATAACCACCATATCGTTTGATTTTTATCTCTCCATAAAGCAAGGAGGTGCAATGACTGTCTCCCTGTACAGATGTGGGGCTGAGGCAGAGGAGAAAAACACATTCAAGGTCTCCCAGTAAGCAAGTGGAGATGTTAGGAAGGGAACCCAAGGCCTGCCTCACAGCCTGTTTTCAAAAACTTACTTTTTTTTGGGCCTGGGAATTATATTTATCAAGAAACATCATAACCGATTGGTACATTCCTTTCAAATAAGCAATGCTTTAACTTTACTACATGAATACCAGTAACTTCACTAATCACCATCAGTGATTCCTTAAAATATAACATATCCCTGTCTACTGGATCTTATAAGCCAACTTCAGAGGACCAAAATAGTTTAGATAGGCTTGATTTCCAGTATGCTTTTATAATATCAATAAAATTATACTTATTTTCATAAACATTTAAGTCTTCACTTGGAATTAAACCAAGATTACATCTGCCAAAACACTGTCCAACTCTTAAAAACACGGAGATACAGCCCATTATCAACAATATATTATAGCTCTTAGCCACCAAGCAACATTCACCTGAGAGACAGGGCCAAGGTTCCTGAAAGAAGAGTGTAAGCTTCCCTGTACTCTAACAGCCATGGTATGAGGGAGTGTGATGCTGCATGTGACTGCCACAGCTCTCTGGCAATGAGCAGACTGAGCATTTCGGTGACACAATCTAGACAGTGCCTGGACCCTGACTGAAGATGGTGGACTTTACTACATTTTTCAAAGCCATCACACATGATGAAAAGCAAATCCTAGCTCTTGAGGCACTGTGGAGGGCTATTCTAAGCCAGGGCACTTGTTCTTCTGACTGTAGCTTCTCGCTCAGGTTTCAACCCACCCCCTGACAAGTGGTTACCATGCTAATATTCTTACCTTCCCTCATGAAATATGCATTGAAAAGTCAAGAAACCCAATAAAGGATACAATTTTTTTTCATAAATACTTCAGCATGCAAACACGTGTAATAAATATTTGAAAACAGCATTGGAAAACTGAATCCTATGCATTGTTGGGAGCTTTTTATTATTCTCCTTCTCCCAAGGAAACAACAGGCTCTCTACTGCCAAGCTCTGTCTTATCTATAAGCAAATACTTTGAATAACAGTGACATGAAATATGAGTTACATTTTTAAGCTCATACATATTTTTATTATCATGAACTTGATTCTGTAACAGCCAAGCTCAGTCACGTTCTACTCTATCTGATTAAATTCTTACTCCCACTTAAACTACATGAGCATTTCTATGTAATACAAGTATGGCTTGATTCAGAAAATTCAAGCTCAGATTCATGATGCTCAGCTATCTTCTAGGCCTTTCTGGGCTGACATTCTATGTTTACTACCCCTTGCTCATACCCATAAAAGAGGCCCCTTCCTCTACTCTACCTCCCTTCTTAATCACTAACATGGGAAAGGCAGAGAGGTACGGGGTCTTGTTCGGTAGAAGATCTGTGAAAGTAAAGGTCATGGCCTGGACCAGCGGTTCTCAAACTGTGGGTCATGACCCCCTTGGAGGCTGTGCGACCCTTTTGCAGGGGTAACCCAAGACCATTAGAAAATGCCAGTATTTATACTATGATTCATATCAGTAGCAAAATTACAACTATGAAGTAGCAATTACAAAGTTACAAACATGAGGAACTTTTTTAAGGTGCCACATCATTAGAAAGGTTGAGAGCTACTGTCCTAGAGGTTTATGGGACAATCAAGAAAGGGGGAAGCCGAGTAAAGGAGATTAGAGAAAGAATGAGGCTTCTAATGACAGGAACGGAGACCCAGGCAGTAGGAGCTGAACAGTGCAGCTAGGGTGGTGGTCCATGCCTGTAATCTCAATACTCAGGAGGTTGAGGCAGAAGGATCTCAAGCTGGAGGTAACCTGGGCTACACATGGAGACCCTGTCTCCATAAAAAACAAAAGAAATTAACAAAGGCAAAGACAAATACAAAATGAGAATCAATTGTCTTTTAAGACCTTGGGTATCTGAGAACAGTATCAAAGAGCATGGAATCACTGTGGTTAAGGACTTCAGCCTCTTTGTAGATATCATAACACAACTGGTCTTCAGGCTATTTGGTCCAGTGAACATTTAAATGAAACATTCAAAGGAGACCAGAGTTCCCCAACCTGAAGAGCTGCCTGCCTTACTCCACAAACCTGTCTTACAAACTACACACAGAGGAAATGGACCCAGCAGGGTTTCTCCCCACCAGACAGTGATGGCCATTCTCTCTTTCAGATGCTTGCGAAACTCTCTGGAATTTAACTCCCTTGCCTCAGGCTCCAGTTTCAAACTCTTTCATGCATGACAATCACACTTTCCTGCCTTGCCATGTGTGACTGCCTTCGTTTGGCTCCTGACATAGTTGCCCAAGTCACTGGTAGAGAGTTTGATTATCATGGCCACGATTTCCTGAAACACCACGGATAAAAGTCACATCCTTAGACAGCCGTTCTGCTTTAGAAACAAACACATACTATCTTCTAATCAACGTAGGGTATAGAACATCTTTCTGAATTTGACATTTAACTAATAGTTTTTAAAAGGTGTTTTAATAACTGCCAATTATTAGTGGACAATTCACTACAAATATATATTTGGTGTTCAGGTTTTCAGAAAGTTTGTTGCATATTATTAAATTAAGTTGATTCTTGGTATACACACTGTAGTATGAGTTGTCTTTCCTGATTTCAGACGTCAAGCACTTGCTTTAAGGAGGTACCCCTGTCTGTTTGCCTTCCTTTTTGAGACATTCTCGTTCTCAAATCTTGATTGCCCAGCACGGAGTCAGTAAGTGAATTCCCATGCCCAGTTCTTTGGGTTTGATTTTAATGTCTCTCCATGACACATAGCCTATTTATATACTATCTTTGGGCTCTCTGAACCACTCTCCAATTCTTTGTCTGGCTTCCTTTATCTGTTCCATTTGGAATCTAGGGCTCTGTCATTCTGTGATCACTTTTTACATAAATTGTAGTACCTTTCCAAAGAGGCAAATGGATGGAATGGCCCCTGTACCAGATGGTGGATTACAAACCACACATTTAAAGAACATGGTCTACACAACCACTGAAGGAGACATATGTTCTCCTCCAAGATCAGTACAGGGTATTTCGTAGGGGAAAGTTCTCTGCTCTGAGATACACATATTTTAAATATGTGTTTGGTTTGAAACTTTCTTTTATTGAAAAGCACCAGTAAAAAAGCACTCTGCACTCAACTTCTGAACCCTAATTATCACTTTCTATCAAGTAGTATATACAATGTTCATGAAATAACATGCCTGACTTTTTAGATCTATGGCATAAGTGCTTTTCATTTTGGGAAATACTCATGTTTTAGAATGTAATGTATGGAAATAATGCAGGGGGCGATTAAGTATTTTAGGATAAGTATTAGTTTCTTCTTAACATAAAGTTGGCTTAGAATGAGATTAATATTTAGGCTTTAAGTATGCAAGCAATCCACCCTTACCAATATCAATACACCAACTTCATTTCTGTAAATATGAACGCTGGTATTTTATACTAAGTGACTTCTCCCTGTGGGGGCTGCTCTGTGCACTGTGGGATGTTTGAAAATGTCCCAAGCCTTTACCCACTAAAGGACACTGTACAATCTGCAAGCATGACCAAATGTCTCCTGGGACAGATCTGCCACTGATGTAAGAAAACCAAAAGTATTAATCTAATCAGCTAAGTAAAAAAGGGTACTTCAAGTTTAATGTATATAATCTGTCAAAAATATAGACAGTCAATTGAAAAACTATATTGAAAATATATTCATATCAAAAAACTATAGACAAACCAAGTAGGCTACGGCCTAGGAACTGTTCATTAAATCAAAAGTATTAATATGCAGTATTGGCTCTGCACTGTCATTAGGTAGGTTTTGTGATGTCACATTTCAGTGACTGTTTAAAGAAAATTTAAAAACCCCAATTTTTCAGTTAGCCTATCAGGTCACCATTACTACTCATAGCAAAGTTTTTCTATAGCTTTGAAAACAAAAAGAGCAAAGGGAAAAAAATAAACGGAGAAAGCTGAAAATTTTCTGGAATTTTTTAATATTTGCATCAAGATGGGATCACAGGCCTATGGGATTAATTAGGTCAGAGAGTGAGAAATGGTTTAGTAACAATGGCTGTGGTTCATTTGATAGGCATGTTCAGTTAGTGATGGATAAAGACGTCTCTACATCAAAATCAAACAATTACATGAACACTAATGGGCGGAGAAAGAGAGAGAGAGAGAGAGAGAGAGAGAGAGAGAGAGAGAGAGAGAGAGAGAGA